ATGTATGGGTGCAGCCCTCTTTGTTGAATCAAAAATTCACTTTGGTCCTCCGACACATTTTTATGCCCACCCCTGGTTTACAAAGAAGTTAGATAAACAATACATTCGGAACTGGATTTTTACATGTTGGTCTAAATATTAGGGTAAATGTTTGTGATATAACCTATTCTTCTTTCATCTATATACTTTTAAATTGGTTTACATTTTGTGGTTCAACATGCTCAGTTTATTTATTGATTTATTTTGTTATTTAGTGAACACGGGCATTTGTATCAACGGCACTCACTGAAATGTTAGGCATTTCACTGAATTTCTCTGCTAATTCCACTGTGATGTTAAATGCAATTTGCCTAACATTGTCAGCTGTGTGTTGCTTTTGTAGTGTGACAACTCCTCATTCAATACTTTGTAGATTCGTGTAGTGTAAAATTGATATTTTACGATATTTTTTTAAATATTAGAAACCCAAACAATTCCCTTAATGGTACAGTAAGATGCCTAAAAGAATGGTGCTACAAAATACATTTGTTCCAAATCTGTGCAAGCTTCTGGACGATAAATTGTAACAAACATTTGTGGCAAAGATAAGCCAAACCAGTCACTCGTCGCAAATCGTGTTACAGAGAAAATGGCCAAAAAATGCTGGAATGTCAAATTTTAAAAAATCTATTTTTAGTAGTTTCTATAGTAGTTTAGATAGTTTCTGCATGAGAAATGCCTGAAATCATAAACTTTGAAGGCTGATTTCTCAAATATTGTTCTTTAAACAGCTGTGTGATGCTCGCTTGTAACTTCATAAGGAAATGTCCGATTTGAATGATTTTTTTTACCATTTTATAGCTATTATTTTACTCTCTAACACTGTATTAATAACTCAAAATTGATTTTTGAGACGAGTGACTGTTTTGGCTTGTCTTTGCCACATTTGGTTCTTAACAGGGACCCAAGTCTCCTAAAAAATTGGGAAGACCTGCTACACTCCTGCTACACTCCTGCAAGCAAGAAACTCCCAGAAAACCAACCAATCTCCCACAAAATCAAGATATTTGCATGTTTTTACAAGTTTTTACTACAAATCAGTGCCGATGGGTATCACCATGCACAGCAAAATATAATTACATTTGTTAAGCAGTGGTGGCCCCCATCGGACAGAGCTCGTCGGGGAGTCGGACTAAAAAATATATAAAAATAGGCCCACGCCAAGCTAACATATGTTTGTCACAATCAGGGAGTGTCATTTCTGTTTATCCAGAGGTTCCTATTCTTAAAAAAAATCTCATTTGACCCTTCACCCAGCTCAGGCCTACGAGCCCAAGTTCCCCCATGTCAGACAGTTCAGCCACCCCAGAAAATATATCCTAGAGCCGCCACTGCTGGTAAGAAAGCTTATTTAACAGATCTATCAGATTTGGATTCTTTAAAATTGGGAGCCCTGCTAATAATGAATTAATATATGATACAGTAGTTCCAATTGAAAACATTTTTCCGTGTTTCTCCTCCAGAAAAGATTCAAAACAATTGGGTGAGAAGTGGAAGAAAGGTGTTCCAATTGAGGTGATTGCTATGGCCTACAAGCCAGTGATGAAGAAGATAGAAAGTCTCCTAGGAGGTCAGGCAGTGTTGCGAATGGCACAAGCCAAAGCTGTGAGTAAGGTTTGGGGAAAAGTGGGAAAGGTTTAAGGTCTCAATTGTTACGGTGGTTTTCTACTAGGCGAATTTATTAACATGACACAAAAAGTTTTACCACAAAAAAAAAAAAAATGCATGAGCACTTATTTTCCACCACATGAACAACAAGATTCACAAGTATGCTTTTTTTTTTAATGCACACTGTTTCCCCCGTTGCCAGTGGACGGGTCGGCTTGACATTCATATGTGCATACATTTATCGGTAAAATTCTGCGCTCATGCATTAAATCTGATCCTGAGCTCTGATTCGATGCGCATTTTTTCCCTTTGCAAAAAACAGAAACTGTTCCAACTCCGAAATTTACCAAAGCAAACTACCACAAGCAAAAAAGCGAAAAATCTAGTGAAAGACTTGTGTATGGTAATTAAACTGTGCATGGCTACGGTTAGACTCTTTCGCTCATTCATTCTCATGGTATATTATTCAAAAATTACAATACAAAGTTAAGAAGAAATTGCCAAATATAACATTTTAGTAAAAAGAACTAAATTGCGTTATATTTACAAGCAAAAAACAGTTGACAAAAGGTAAATAAATATGCCTAGTGGAAAACCAGCTTTCAGCAGTTTGAAAAAGTATATCACAAAATGATGTTAATTAATGAAGATTATAGCATTAATACAGATTATATTATATATTATATGTCACGTTCTTAATTATCTCTCAGGGTCCAGTTGTGACAGATAATGGAAATCTAATTGTGGATTGGAAATTTGATAAAGTCCCCAGCAGTTGGCAGGATGTAAACCAAGCCCTCATGATGATTCCAGGTAAAATTCATTATGCTAGTAAAGGACTTTTATAGTGGGGAAAACCAGTCTGTAAATACAGAAATCAATGTTGCTTGTACTGTATTACTAGTATCATTAATAAAACGTGTCATTGAGAACAGGTGCGGATCCAGTAGGTGCCCCCGTTTTTGCACTAAATTTTTAAATTTCAGAGCATATCAAATGTATTGAAAAATTGAAAAAAAAAATACAAATCTACCACCCCTCCCCATTTTAAAAATTCTGGATTGGCTACTGAATGAGAAAACATGTGTCCCCCATTAGGATTCGAACCCAAGACCTTCCAATTACCGTTCGAATACTCTACCAACTTAGCTATGATCCCAAGTGGTATAAATCCAAGGACTTCCCTATTAGGACATATTAAGTTTATGCTATTATTCTTGATGATTATCTTATTACGACATCCGCACAATACAATAAGATATTCATTAACAATAGTATAAAATTCATGTGTCCTAATGTGAATTTTATGCTATTGTTGATGGATATTTTATTAATATCTCAGTACAGTACAATCAAAATAATATAGATCCAGATATACTTTATATGCTCTGGTTCAACCGTTATTTTTAAAGAGAGTCTCTTTGTATTTTAGGTGTAGTTGACACTGGATTGTTTATTAAGATGGCCAAGAAGGTGTACTTTGGGATGGAGGATGGATCAGTATCTGAACGAGGGTGAACTAATACAGTATACTCACATGCACATTTGATTGTGTAAAGTCTGTATTTTCTTAATCTCATCTGACAGGGTAGAAACTAATTTTTTTTTTCAGAGTACTGTACTACTTAGAGTACAGTAGGTATTCCATTGTATTTGTATATAAAGTAAGGAAAAACACTGATTAATCAACTGGCTATTATGGAATAGAAAATTGAGTGCCATGTTAACACCAGCTATAAAATCTGGTTTAAGTCCTATACGATTTTGGCAAGGATTTCCATTTTATATTTTGGGGAAACCCCTTCACTGATTGAACCACTAAACCATTGAATAAAAAGATGAGTGCATAACTAACCTTCTGCTAAAAAAACCCAGATATTGTGTCAAAGGTCATTTTAAAAACTGCATGACAAGTACAGTACCTTGAAAAGGACCTGTCTTGGTGCTTCTGTATGTATATATTTTCATTACTTTTTGCTAATAAAGCTAAGGACAATTTGGAATTTTTCATTTCTTTTATTTCGTCTTTACATATATACAATCTTGTATAAAGTTTGTTTAGCACTGCATTTTCCAAAGGATATGCAATAAATGATACAGTGTGGACCTTTCTGCTATTACTACTTTGCTTGTGACTTGTAGACTGATACACAAGCGACTGATATTAAGCCGTTGGTCCCATGTGCATTAATGGCCCATGTGCGTGTTAAAGAACGCAGTACACTCTTCGGAAAAAAGAGTAGGGGATTGTCTCCCGGTGTACTGCTCGATCACCACTAGAAGGACCCCACTGGAAATAAGTCTTCTTCTAGACTTTCGTGGGCTATCCTTGGTGTTTACACCGAATAAATCCAATCCAATTCAATCAAATTAGTATCAAGTACAGTACCATGTACATGAATGTGATGGCTACGACATCTGAACATGGGGGTTTACATCTTCCTTTTGCGGTTTTATACTGTAGTTTATAAGTGTCTTTTCTTTTAATGGCTACCAATGTTTGCATAATATACAATTTAAAGGTATAACAGACAGAAAACCACCTGAAACAAGTTAAATATATTTTAATGTGCTTTAAACAAAGTGAGATCAGAAATACAATTCTGCCATTTAC